TTAGCACTAAATCCCTACATATGGTCTTGAACTCCTTGATAAAGTCCAAAGTGTTTGCGTAAAGTTTGGAAAGGGGGAATGTTGATCTTTTGTAGGACCTTAGATTCAAACATGGAAAATGGGATCTCCACCCTTGTGTCAAAAATGACACATGATTACATATATAAAAACTCTCCCCTGAACCATGCAACATAGTCAGATTAACCCTCTTTCCCTTATTGCATGGCTCCAATAAGACATCACATTTATCCCTAGTGGTTGATGTGTATATATTCTTAGGAAACCAAATAACATTGGCCTCACTAGTGAAGACAAAGCTAATGGTGTCAACTCAATAATTCAAATGGATAGTACACGTCGCCGCCATCAATGATCACGCACGTCCTTGGAAAGAAGAGGATAAGACATGGCCGTTATCATTGCTTTCATCAAAATCTAATCTACTAGAACTATTATTGTAACTCCTAAAATTCCTAGTTCTACAAGCTTCCAATTAATCCTTCCATCACGCTGCCTTGAGTTTGTTAAATTGTGGTTCCACATCCTACTTCTTTCCTTGTGCGTTATATGTTCTATTTAATCACTATTTTCATCACACTATCTAATAAACACCATCACTAGTGGCATAAAATGGAAAGGGGATTAGGGAAACTAAACTCAGTATATGTGATTTTCTTGATGAAGTGTTGGAAAGGAACTTGTAAGAATAAATCACAATCCCTAAAACAGAGATAAAGAACGCTGAAAAAATGATGAAGAGGAAAAAAACAAGGGTGATATATTTAAAGAGGGGTAATTTGCCTCCTAGGCCACGGAGGTATCTAGAGGTTCATCATTGTTGGTTCTATAGGTTTATATCCATCATTATGAGGGCACAACATCATTGGCCTTGATCGCAAACATTCATATAGGTAAATGCTCAGATTGTATGGTCATTCTCAAAATGACTTTCACCATTGCATCACATTAAATACACCACCAAACCCAAAATTCAATCCTCGTTCCTATATGAGTTGCGACTTCAATATCATGAAACTTTGCGATCAAAAAACAGATATGACCTTATGCATCAAGAACACTTCTAAATCACATTGTCTTTACAAGTCTCATGTTTGAAGGAATATGGACTAGAATGCTTTAGCTTAATCACTTCACTGTTACAGGCCTCGTGATTGAGGAATTGCAGACTCAATTTTCCTAGCTTAATCACTTCTCCCTTACAGAACTTGTGCTTGAAGGATTGTGGACTAGAATGTCCAAGCTTAATCACTTCGTCCTAACAGGCCCCGTGGTTGAGAGTTTGTGTATTGGAATGTCCTAGTTTAATCACTATGCCCTTCCATGCAGTGTGTTTAAGGGATTGTGGGTTGAAATATCTTTGATAGATGCCTAAAAGACTTGGTTTACCATCTCTCCAACATTTAAGTAACATGGTGAGTACTTGAGTAGTAAATAGCGAGGTCACATGGTGAGCATGTGAACTAACCCAACCCACTTCCTCTCGTAAGAAGACGTGATAAATCACGTGTTAACATGGGATAATTGAAGTATTTGTTGAACTAAACTTATTTTCATCATAATAGGATGACTCATCTCAGTCACTCCCCTAACGAGTAAAACCAAAGAGACTTGTAGTCGATTTTATAGATGTAAGAACTAATCTCTCGATTAACTCTTTCATCAGTATTCTCATCTATAAATACTTAATAGACAGTTGAGTAAAAACATTTACTTTTTACATTCTATAATCAAATAAACCCTATTATGCTTACTAACATAAATGAAATATTTATTATTGTACTCATCGCAAGTACAGGTATACAATTTGAATTGCGCTAATAAATTGCGCCTTTTTTTATTAAGTAAAATTATAAAATAATTTAATAGTATGCTATACTTGTATATACAAATGATGTTAATATTTGATGTTTATTTTTAATTTTAAAATCTTTATTTAAACTCTTTTATTTGTTAAAAAATTAAACTCGCTTATTTACAATTTTTTAATAATTAAATAATGAATCTTATCATTCTTTATGTTATGCTTAAACGAGGTCTAAATCAATTTTAAATCAAATTTAAATTAAAAATATAGTAATTAAAATAAAGAAAACAACATTAAACGATATAAGTTTGTCAACATTTCAAGCTTAACATTTTCATGATAGGTGGGTAGCTAGGATATTTATTCAAAGTTTTGACATAGGAAACATATTGGTTTTTATTTGTTTATATATAGTAGTACTCAAAGTATATATAATTTGTTTGTTACATAAAATGTTCAAAACTTGGAGTAGATTTCGATGCCTTTTCGTTATACACAAAACAAATTGAAACCTCGGTATAAACATTTATTTGTATTCTAATGGTAACAAAATTCAAATCCTTTCAATAATGACTTGTAGTTGTTGATATCAAATATATTCACACATTTACGTGTAGAGCTGTCAAAATAAATTATTCAATTTTAAATTGATCAGTTTGGATTAGTTTTGAGTATTTTAGAGTTGGACTAAAAAAACTTTATTGTAGTATAAGTTTAAAAATTACTATATGAGCTCGATCCAAAATAGACTTTAGATTATCCAATCCGTTTAGATTTTTTTTTAAAATAAAAACATCGTAATATTTATTATAAATGAAATTAAAAATTATAATATTTTTAACATAAAATATTTTAATTACTATATTATTTTTTTTTATAAATATTATTATGTGTTTTTAAATACAACATATATCTAAATTGTATAAAATATTATTCGAATATTTAACATAAAAGAAATTAATAAAATATAAAAATATTGATTATATTAATGTATAAGATTAAAAGAGAAAGATTGAATTAAATAGAAATAAAATTTAGTAAGATAAGAAAAATCGATGTGTTATTTTTTAGTAAAATAATACAAGTACTAATATATTTTTAAAAAAATTTATGACTATGCAAACCTAATACTATCTATGACTCATATAGGCTAGACCTAATAGATAACGGACTTTTTAGAACTGAGCTAGAAAAGCTCTGAAAAATATAAACGGTCCAATCCCTATATTTTTTGGGCCGAACAAACCGGCCTATATAAGCTAACCCATTTTAATAGCTCTAAGTAAGTATATCGGACTTGTTCATAATTTCCTTTTAATTAATAATAATTATTAAAAATTTAATAATAATAATAATAATAATAATAATAATAATAATAATAATAATAATAATAATAATAATAATAATAATAATAATAATAATAATGTTCTGGCCTGGGATCGGCCTCGCGGCCCAGCCCAATAACGGACAAGGCCCAACGAGTGAGGCAGCTTGACCAGGCACGCACCCCCGTCGGACAGGCCGGATACGCTCCCTGTCAAGCAGGACGACGCGCTTCTAAACGTCCTCGGCGCTCCCCCTAGTCGGGCAGAACAGCCTCCGCGGACGGTATTTCCCATTCCACCGAGCAAGAGCCCATGGCTCTCCCACGTCCACGTGTGCTCCCCTCCTCGGGGAGAACGACACGGCTCCGATGAACCTCGCGAGCTCCCCTCTGCGGGGAGAACAACGTAGCCTGGGCGCATTCTCCACGTGTTCCCCTCCGCGGGGACACGTCATCCCCCAACTGCCCACCTCCGAAAGAGCAGGTCAACCCCACTTTCCGGAGACCACAGGATAGTTGGATTAGGGCGAATATCACGTCCTGGTCTTCACTACACCACGTAAGCCCTAGCAGTCACATGGGTTGGGTCTGGCCATCCAGCCCAACACAAGTGACTGTTGGCCCAGCGCTGGGATCTCTCTATAAATACCCTCTTCCTCAAGAGGGTCAGGTAATTCACATCTTGCCCTTTCTGTACTTTACTCTCACTCTGCCCAATTCCTTACTTTTGCATCGGAGTGTCTTGTAGGTACACCCCTTCTTCCTCCTCATCACCCGGTGAACAGATAGCAGTCCAACAGCGTGTGGTCAGCCCGTGATCCCCTCCTGATCAGGTCAGATCAAATAATAAAAAAAATAATAATGTTCATTCCAAGAAGAAGAAGCCAAATTAGAGAATCAAGTTGGTCTTATTATGCTTATTCATCTTTCATTCATGTTCCATTTCTTGGAGTTTTATGCAAAGGATGGAACAATTATAATCTATACAATCATATCCTTGCCCATCTTTTTTCTGAAACCAGGTGTCTCTATTATTATTTTATGATGTGACTTGTCGTGATTTGTTTCAAAGATAAATTCGTAATATGAAACATGGTATTCAAACACGACTTGAATTCTATAATCATGAATATTGCATAATTAAAAAAACTACATTAGTAATTCTGTTGTTCGAGACATAAACACAAATGGCTTAATTCCTAATTAATTGTTATATTCTCGCGAGTTTAGTTTACTAAATAGCTGGATTTTCTTATCTATTATTAACCATTTAAAATAAATTGTATCAATACTCTTCTAACTACTCTAAGACTAATGAAGTTCTGATACAATTATATATGGATTTTCTCATATAATCGTGTATCAGAACTTCATTAGTATATATGGATTTCATCCGCATATGTCCTACAAATCCACAATTATATGAAGTTCTGACCCAATAGCAAATATTTTAATTTTGAAATGAAAATAAATTGCCTGCAACTTAAGGCAGATAAACAATTCGATTTAGAAATATATGATATTTTAATGCATTTAACCGACAAGCTGTATTCTATAATGTATAACGTGATCTTGAACACCACAGGACTCAATCTTTTGTCTGAATTTGAAGAATGTTGTCACATAAGAACTCCATAACATGAGCCAAAAGGGTTATTTTCTGTTCACACACACCTACCTAGTATTATATTATAAGATAATTGTCCTTATCTGCATGATCAAACAGCACATATATATTTATAAACCATGCACAGTGATTTCAACCTTACAACCAAACCATTTGGTCGATAATATCGGCAACTGAAAGATAAATTTCCTAGTTTATTACGTCGACCTTGTATCGCCATCTTCATGGACAAAAATCCTCACTCAGAAATTCAACTCCCTCCTGGATTTAGATTCCACCCTTCTGATGAAGAACTTGTAGTTCACTATCTAAGAAACAAAGTTACTTCATCTCCTCTTCCTGCTTCATTCATAGCAGAAATAGATCTTTACAAGTACAATCCATGGGAGCTTCCAAGTTTGTCCTTAACAACTTCACTACTTATATACTTTTCTTTTCGTTATTATTTTTTGATGGAATGTTTATTAACAGGTAAGGCTTTGTTTGGAGAGGAAGAATGGTATTTCTTTACTCCAAGGGAGAGAAAGTATCCGAAAGGATTGAGACCTAATAGAGCAGCTGGTGAAGGTTATTGGAAAGCTACTGGAACTGATAAACCTATTCTTACTTCATGTGGTTTGGAAAGCATTGGAGTGAAGAAAGCTCTTGTGTTCTATAAGGGACGTCCACCGAAAGGATCCAAAACTGAGTGGATCATGCATGAATATAGGTTGCATCATTCCGTGATCTCAAATTCAAACCATAGTGGTTCTATGAGAGTACGTCAATTCCATTAGTTCCATTTTTCATCTTTTGAAATCTATGAAACACTGATACAGATAAAAATTTGAAATATAAATATAACTACATATGTCGGTGTTCTAACACTGACATGTAATGACACGAGACGCGTCTTTAATATGATGTTTTAGTGATGCATAGTTTAAAATATTTAATTACTTCTTTGTTATTCTGCTTTGGCTTCAGCTGGATGAGTGGGTGTTATGCCGAGTTCGACAAAAAACCGGAAGTCCAAGAAGGAGTTTAGAAGATTCAAATGAACTTAGTTATTATGAATCAACAAGTCAATTTCAGCAAATGAAAGAGAGCTCTAATCCTGAACCAGTCAAAAACTATATGCAGAATGAATATCCAATGTTACCTTATATTCTGGCTTCTTCCAACAGTGTTCTTCCCAATACCATTGGCATGTCATCAACCAATGTAAAACCACATGATTCATTTTATGAAGAAAACAACTTAAACATAATAGGAGCACAGTTTTTATCGTCTGCAACTGAGGGATTGTTCAATAATCCTCTGAAGAGAAAAGCCGTCGAAAATAACAGCGAGACGGACTTCTATGCTCTCCTCAATCAAAACCTAAGCAGAGAAGTTGAAAAAGATTTAAGCAAAGGATACAATTTCAACAACTTTGATCAGTGGAGCTCAATCATACAACCTCAAGAGGTTAATAGCTTAGCCTTCACTGAATATACATAAGCAACTTAAGTGTATGCATTGTACATACATGATTATTAAGTTTATTCTATATGTAAATAAGGAGAAATGTATTGAGCTTGTGATTATTCTTTATAGGACATGGTAGTAGTACTAGTAGGTGTTGTATATAGCAGAAAAAAGAGGGTATTATTCAAGTATTGTACGTATAGGTATATAATATGTATGTGAGATACAGTTTGAAGAATAAAGTTCCACCATAATGGTGTGGCAACATGCATATAAATGTATGATTGTATGTATATATATGTTTATACATTGAAAGACAAACACAATAAGGAATGTGACATCGTTCATATCATTTGCCATGTTTTTCCAAGTATCCAATCCTTCTGCAATCACATCCAAACCTTGATCCTAAAATATTCATATGCGTAAATGAATAGAAAGAATTAATCAAAAAGCATCATGTTCGTGAACCACTATGACTGAAAGATTTGAGTTGATTGGAAAGGAAAGTAAGTCTCATAAAAATGAAATTTCTAGAAATAAAAAAGTTATGAGAATAAATATCATATAGAATCCTTCGTAAATCTAAGAAAAATGACTTTTTTTATTCTAGAATCAAATTTGATTCTATGAATTTGTAATGGCTGCATTACACAAGTAGCCACCCTACTACAAAAATCACATTTTAAAAGTTAGATAAAATTATTGATTATTCTATTTATTTATTTAATTTAATTAGTATAAAAATAATTAAATAATTATTTTGTGAAAATTATTTAAATAAATTAGTTGATTTGGTAGAATTAATTAATTAAAGTAATAAAAATAGAGAATTAATAAAAATGGATCGAAAGTGTGAATTAATAGAAATAAAGGGGAGCAAGGAGTAAGAGATTTAGTTAGTTGATTCAAAAATGTAGTTAAAGAGAGATAATTAATTATTTTTAAAAACAAAAAATTCGAGAGAGATAGTTTTCATTCCAACAGTATATAAAATAGAAAATCACATTTATAAATAGAAAAGGCTTAAGAGAAAAACGTCAATTCACCTTACTTTTGCTAAAAAATTTGAAATCTAAGGTAAGGGGAAAACTATTCATCTATGACTGCTAAATCATGAAAGAGTAGAGGGGTTTCATTAACCTCAAATAGTGTTCGATCATTTATGAATATGTGATGTGAATTGATAAATGTGAGTGCAACCTTTTCAATTTGGTGTATTTTGAATTATGCCAAAACTACCGTTAGCATTTATGTGCACGGCATCATCTGAGTCTAGCTGTGCATTTTAGCATTAGGGAGTATGACAACATGTTAGAAAGGATTAGAAAAGATTCATGCATCAAGAAATAGTTTTATATGCTTCAAAAATCTATTTTTGAGTGAAAATTTGTATTCAGGTCGACTCATATATGTTACAGGTCGACACATAGAAGAAGAATATCTCTATGTGTCGAAACACCCGTGTTTTAGGTCAGCACATGAAACTAAAATTTGTCAATGTGTTGAAACATCCATCTTATAGGTCGACTCATGTGTTGTATTTTTAAAGCCTGTAAGACTCTATTAGATGTGTCACCTCTACAGGTCGACACATGACTTGCATAGGTCAACCTATACATCAAAAATCTTGAAAATTTACATTGTTTTCCATTCCTTTTGCTTCATACTTGCTAACATATATACATGTTACATGCATCATATTTTTTCAATGATTCTGGTAAAATCATAAACGAAACCTGGAACATACTAAGAGTCTTCTTCATCTTCAACCTTGGTTTTATGCATACATACAAATAAAGTGCATAATAATTCATTATTTGGGAGTCATCTAGACTCAAGTAAATAAGGTCCAATTTACCTTGTGGTATTGTAAATTGCGTTGAGATCTATAAAAACAAGAGTGGTTCTGCATATGGCCTTTAATTTTGATGATAACTACACATGCTATCTTAGAGAACAATTTGATACTTTATGGTGTGTGACGTCATCAGACTATGATCTAAACACTCTAGAAAAAAATATATGTTGCGTAGAAGTTAAAGACAATATTCAAGAATGTTTTTAGTGAGACGGTTCTGAAGAATGTTTGTACTAAAGCTTCTGATTGAGACTTTGTTTTTAAGCCTTGAAAGTGTTATAAGAAATGTGCTTCTAAATGCTCAAAGTTCTGAAGTTTCTGAAGACAAGGTTCTGTTGAACGAGGTTCTGAATATTCTAAAGACCTCATTATATTGTTGTGATTTCAGAAGACTAGTATGTGTTGAACGAGTTCAGAAGTTTCTGAAGACAAGGTTCTGAAGATTCTAAAGATGTCATTTCTTAAAGTTCAAGTTCTGAAGACTCTAAAGACAAAGTACTGTTGAACAAAGTTCTGAAGACTTTGAAGACAAATATGTGCTGAACAAATTCTGAAGATTCTAAAGACAAGGTTATGCTGAATAAGCTCTGAAGATTCTGAAAACATCACTTCTAAAGACCAAGTGTTAAAGACTCTTAAGATAGTTCTACTGAACGAAGATTTGAGACTCTAAAGACTTAGGTTCTGAAGTTACTAGTATTGATCTCTCTACAACATGCTTCATCAAATATACATTTGAAGCTTCTGAAGAATTAGAATACGAAGATCAAGAATGGTTGGATAAAGCGTTGAATATAAAAGTACAAAATAGTCTGTGACCTCTACCTAGATTAGGTGGCACAAGGACAGCTTTTTATATTATGATGTGACCATTCCTTCAGTGAATGTTGGGATATTACAGTTGGAATTTGTTTCCAGTTATACCCTCCAACGGATCTATTCTAAAGCTCTATATATTAAAGATTTGAATGCTTAAAGAGCAGCTGGCGATCACAGACATGCTGTTGTGTGCTACGCGCAAATACTAAATGCTGCAGTGCCAAGAATTAGAAGAGTCAAAGATATAATCATGAGAGAGTAACTAGAACAAGAACACAAAGAGCTGAAGAAAAAAAAAGAGTATGTCTGCAAGGCAGAAGCAAGCACCAATCTGAAAAGCTCAGTAGAAGATGCTTGAAGTTCAACTAAATTAGAGCGCAGCACTACAAAAAAATGAGAGAAGCATTAAAAGAAGCTTTTAGGCTCACAAAAATCATATTGATACGATGTAAATCTCTAGGAGATTATTCTTAAGATAATTTTGTAAAACAGCAAGGAGTTGTTGTTCATATCTTGCTAGAAAACACTTTTGTGTTATTGTACTTCAATTCTGTCATCTGCTTGTTTAGAAGCAATTTTATGTACACACCTTGTAACACTTTACAAAAGTGTAGATTCCTCAAGTGACTAAGTTGTTAGTCTGGATACTTGAGAAGGCTAAGTTGTTTTCTAACACTTAGGGGTTGTAATCTATTGAGATTATTAGATTAAGTCTTTGTCTAAGGCAAAATCACCTTGGTGGATGGACTAGAGTAACTTTGTTAACAATGAACCAGGATAAAAATAATCGTGTCTATTTATTTTTATTCTCTTGTTAGCATTGATATTTAAATTCTGCATAAAATATCATAGTTGGTGAAACCTAATTCAAACCCCCTTTCTTGTGTTTCTCACCCCCCTTTAATTGGTATTAGATTTCCGGTTCTGGTATTGATGCTTATCAACACTTAACCGTGTCAGATAAAGATCCAAGCGAACTTTAAGAAACACATTGATGGTTTCTACACTACCACCTGATTTCCAATCTCAAATGTTCTTAGTTCTATCTTCCACCATTGTTGGTAAAAAGGTTGAATACTAGAAAGCTGAACTAGAAAGTTCTTTCTAGACGGTGCTACTGATATTTGGAATATGGTAGTTGATAACTACATATCTTCTCAAGTGAAGCTAGTAAAAGGCTAAAAGCAAATATAAATGATAAGTTGGAAAAGGATGAAAAGAATCATCAGAAAGCAAGAAGTTCCTTGTTTACTGTAAGTTAATTCTTACTGAGTATGGGATGTTTGCAAAGCCAGACTGCTATGTCTTTTTTACTTTCTTAAAAACTCATTAAGAACTCATTTTAGTCAAGGAAACAATTGCTCATGTTTTGATTCTGAAGCATGAAGACTTTAAGATGAAGAATGTTGGAGTAGGTTGCAATCTTGTTATCAAGTTTTTCAAACCATGGCTACAGGACTTAGAGTTTTTGAACTGAGGTTCTCTCTTCGTCAGATCTTTTGAAGAAGATTGTTAGAAGCTTGCCATTCAAATAGAAGCATTGCCATTCTAGAAGAATTGGTGAGTTTGTTTTGACAAGTTATGAAGATTAAGCTATAACAGTTTAATTCAGATGAGAGGAAATATGTTATGCTTACATCTATCAGAAGATCTAAGAAGACAAGAGGTTCTTTAGCTAGAGAAATCAAGGATTCTAAAGATAATGTGTCACTCAGTCAATTATGAATAATCGTCTCTTGAAGAAGAATCATTGCAACAAACTTAAAGGAACTAGATGTTCTGCTAAGATTTTTTTGAGTTCACCTTAAGCCAAGTAAGAAGCTTTGATAAGCAAGAAAAGGCTGAAGGTAACACAAGATGATTTTGAGTTCTCAAGAAGAGGATGAAGATGAAGAACAAGATAACGTGGCACTTTTGGCTAGCATTGGAATATCTGATAAAGAAGATTCCTTCAGAAGATGAAATAGTTCTAATTCAACATAAATCATTTCTGCTACAGAAGTTCTTAGCAGTGCAACTGAAGCACTGACTTTGTTACCAGATCTCTAACTATTTGCACATATTAAAGGTACATGTTCAAAATCTTGGAACTTAAGCCTACAGACAATGATTCTCAAAAGTAATCAGAAGAAAAGAAATCTAGGCTTCAGAACAAGAATAATTTGGAGTTTTTGTACACTAACATATCCGATTTAATGAAATACCATGATATGAAGTATTGGATCAGTTACTGTTAGTAAGTATAAGATAGACATGGGGTGAAGGATCTTCACACAAGGATGAATTCTTCTGTGTTCTCTAGTCTCAAAAGCATATATGAAAGTGTGAGAATTCAAGATCAGAAATAATCTTG